ATTCTGACATCACATATTAGGTCATATTGCCACAATGCCATATGAGAGAATGTGGCTTTATGACATCATGTGTAATGTCAGAGTACCACATTGCAAGTTTCCTAGAATGATTGGCTTTGTGGCATTGTGAATAATGTGTCTTCCTGTTGAATGTAAAATAAGATATAACACATGATGTCATAATGGCACATTCCAGAATTCAACCAGGTTGCTGTCCTTGCAGAGAAACCATGTGACTTTGATTCAAAAGTAAACATGTAAACAATTCTAAACAAATATTAACATTTTGACATCTTGTGTGATTTTATAATGCTACAATGCCACAAGAGAGAATGTGGCTTTGTGACATCATGTGTAATGTCGGAATGCCACAATGCAAAATTCTACGATGTGGCATTGTGGCATTCTGACATCATGTGTAATCCTAGAATGTGGAATTAGGACATTGCACATGATGTATCAATGCCACATTTTAGAATGCCAACGGGTTGCTGTTTTAGCAGAGGAACCATGTGACTATGATTCAAATATAAACAATTCTAGAAAAAGTTTTAAAATTATGAAACCACACAAAGTCACAATAGCACAATGGCACATTCTAGAATGTAGCATTCTGACATCACATATTAGGTCATATTGCCACAATGCCATATGAGAGAATGTGGCTTTATGACATCATGTGTTATGTTAGAGTACCACATTGCAAGTTTCCTAGATGGTGGCTTTGTGGCATTGTGACATAATGTGTCTTCCTGTTGAATGTAAAAATAAGATATAACACATGATGTCATAATGGCACATTCAAGAATTCAACCAGGTTGCTGTCCTTGCAGAGAAACCATGTGACTCTGATTCAAAAGTAAACATGTAAAGAATTCTTAACAAATATTAAGATTTTGACATCTTGTGTGATTTTGTAATGCCACAATGCCACTAGAGAGAATGTGGCTTTGTGACATCATGTGTAATGTTGGAATGCCACAATGCAAAATTCTACGATGTGGTATTGTGGCATACTGACATCATGTGTAATCCTAGAATGTGGAATTAAGACATCACACATGATGTCACAATGCCACATTGTAGAATGCCAATGGGTTGCTTTTTAAGCAGAGGAACCATGTGACTGATTCAAATATAAACAATTCTAGAAAAAGTTTTAAAATTATGACATCACACAAAGTCATAATAGCCCAATGGCACATTCTAGAATGTAGCATTCTGACATCACATATGAGGTCATATTGCCACAATACCATATGAGAGAATGTGGCTTTATGACATCATGTGTAATGTCAGAGTACCACATTGCAAGTTTCCTAGAATATTGGCTTTGTGGCATTGTGACATAAGGTGTCTTCCTGTTGAATGTAAAAATAAGATATAACACATGATGTCATAATGGCACATTCCAGAATTCAACCAGGTTGCTGTCCTTGCAGAGAAACCATGTGACTTTGATTCAAAAGTAAACATGTAAACAATTCTAAACAAATATTAACATTTTGACATCTTGTGTGATTTTATAATGCTACAATGCCACAAGAGAGAATGTTGCTTTGTGACATCATGTGTAATGTCGGAATGCCACAATGCAAAATTCTAAGATGTGGTATTGTGGCATTCTGACATCATGTGTAATCCTAGAATGTGGAATTAGGACATTGCACATGATGTATCAATGCCACTTTTTAGAACGCCAACGGGTAGCTGTTTTAGCAGAGGAACCATGTGACTATGATTCAAATATAAACAATTCTAGAAAAAGTTTTAAAATTATGAAACCACACAAAGTCACAATAGCACAATGGCACATTCTAGAATGTAGCATTCTGACATCACATATTAGGTCATATTGCCACAATGCCATATGAGAGAATGTGGCTTTATGACATCATGTGTAATGTCAGAGTACCACATTGCAAGTTTCCTAGAATGTGGCTTTGTGGCATTGTGACATAATGTGTCTTCCTGTTGAATGTAAAAATAAGATATAACACATGATGTCATAATGGCACATTCCAGAATTCAACCAGGTTGCTGTCCTTGCAGAGAAACCATGTGACTCTGATTCAAAAGTAAACATGTAAAGAATTCTTAACAAATATTAAGATTTTGACATCTTGTGTGATTTTGTAATGCCACAATGCCACAAGAGAGAATGTGGCTTTGTGACATCATGTGTAATGTTGGAATGCCACAATGCAAAATTCTACGATGTGGTATTGTGGCAGTCTGACATCATGTGTAATCCTAGAATGTGGAATTAAGACATCACACATGATGTCACAATGCCACATTGTAGAATGCAAATGGGTTGCTTTTTAAGCAGAGGAACCATGTGACTGATTCAAATATAAACAATTCTAGAAAAAGTTTTAAAATTATGACATCACACAAAGTCATAATAGCCCAATGGCACATTCTAGAATGTAGCATTCTGACATCACATATGAGGTCATATTGCCACAATACCATATGAGAGAATGTGGCTTTATGACATCATGTGTAATGTCAGAGTACCACATTGCAAGTTTCCTAGAATATTGGCTTTGTGGCATTGTGACATAAGGTGTCTTCCTGTTGAATGTAAAAATAAGATATAACACATGATGTCATAATGGCACATTCCAGAATTCAACCAGGTTGCTGTCCTTGCAGAGAAACCATGTGACTTTTATTCAAAAGTAAACATGTAAACAATTCTAAACAAATATTAACATTTTGACATCTTGTGTGATTTTATAATGCTACAATGCCACAAGAGAGAATGTTGCTTTGTGACATCATGTGTAATGTCGGAATGCCACAATGCAAAATTCTAAGATGTGGTATTGTGGCATTCTGACATCATGTGTAATCCTAGAATGTGGAATTAGGACATTGCACATGATGTATCAATGCCACTTTTTAGAACGCCAACGGGTAGCTGTTTTAGCAGAGGAACCATGTGACTATGATTCAAATATAAACAATTCTAGAAAAAGTTTTAAAATTATGAAACCACACAAAGTCACAATAGCACAATGGCACATTCTAGAATGTAGCATTCTGACATCACATATTAGGTCATATTGCCACAATGCCATATGAGAGAATGTGGCTTTGTGACATCATGTGTTATGTTAGAGTACCACATTGCAAGTTTCCTAGATGGTGGCTTTGTGGCATTGTGACATAATGTGTCTTCCTGTTGAATGTAAAAATAAGATATAACACATGATGTCATAATGGCACATTCCAGAATTCAACCAGGTTGCTGTCCTTGCAGAGAAACCATGTGACTCTGATTCAAAAGTAAACATGTAAAGAATTCTTAACAAATATTAAGATTTTGACATCTTGTGTGATTTTGTAATGCCACAATGCCACAAGAGAGAATGTGGCTTTGTGACATCATGTGTAATGTTGGAATGCCACAATGCAAAATTCTACGATGTGGTATTGTGGCAGTCTGACATCATGTGTAATCCTAGAATGTGGAATTAAGACATCACACATGATGTCACAATGCCACATTGTAGAATGCCAATGGGTTGCTTTTTAAGCAGAGGAACCATGTGACTGATTCAAATATAAACAATTCTAGAAAAAGTTTTAAAATTATGACATCACACAAAGTCATAATAGCCCAATGGCACATTCTAGAATGTAGCATTCTGACATCACATATGAGGTCATATTGCCACAATACCATATGAGAGAATGTGGCTTTATGACATCATGTGTAATGTCAGAGTACCACATTGCAAGTTTCCTAGAATGTGGCTTTGTGGCATTGTGAAATAATGTGTCTTCCTGTTGAATGTAAAAATAAGATATAACACATGATGTCATAATGGCACATTCCAGAATTCAACCAGGTTGCTCTCCTTGCAGAGAAACCATGTGACTTTGATTCAAAAGTAAACATGTAAACAAGTCTAAACAAATATTAACATTTTGACATCTTGTGTGATTTTTTAATGCCACAGTGCCACAAGAGAGAATGTGGCTTTGTGACATCATGTGTAATGTCGGAATGCCACAATGCAAAATTCTACGATGTGGTATTGTGGCATTCTGACATCATGTGTAATCCTAGAATGTGGAATTAAGACATCACACATGATGTCTTAATGCCACATTCTAGAATGCCATCGGTTTGCTGTTTTAGAAGAGGAACCATGTGACTATGATTCAAATATAAACAATTCTAAAAAAAGTTTTAAAATTATGACATCACACAAAGTCACAATAGCACAATGGCACATTCTAGAATGTAGCATTCTGACATCACATATTAGGTCATATTGCCACAATGCCATATGAGAGAATGTGGCTTAATGACATCATGTGTAATGTCAGAGTACCACAATGCAAGTTTCCTAGAATGTGGCTTTGTGGCATTGTGACATAGTATGTCTTCCTGTTGAATGTAAAAATAAGATATAACACATGATGTTATAATGCCACATTCCATAATTCAACCAGGTTGCTGTCCTTGCAGAGAAACCATGTGACTTTGATTCAAAAGTAAACATGTAAACAAGTCTAAACAAATATTAACATTTTGACATCTTGTGTGATTTTTTAATGCCACAGTGCCACAAGAGAGAATGTGGCTTTGTGACATCATGTGTAATGTCGGAATGCCACAATGCAAAATTCTACGATGTGGCATTGTGGCATTCTGACATCATGTGTAATCCTAGAATGTGGAATTAAGACATCACACATGATGTCTTAATGCCACATTCTAGAATGCCATCGGTTTGCTGTTTTAGAAGAGGAACCATGTGACTATGATTGAATTGTAACCAACCCTGGGAGCCTCAAAGTTCGTCCACCACGTCCCAACCGCCATCCACCGCTGCATCCAACCACGACTCAACATGGACTGAAATAACCACAGGAAAATCACCGACACCACCCCCTGGAACCCGGCCGGGCCTACCTCAAGCTCCACTCCAAGCCGCTTCGAGGCTCCTGAGAATCCTCCTGAGCCTGCCAACACCAGCATGGACCAGTCCCTTCTCGGCGGTGACGTGATGGCGTCCTCTGCAGCGGCTGCCGGGGCTCCCATGGCTCCTACAAGGCCACCCGGCGGAGCCCCCAGGCCTTCGTCCACGTCCTCCGGTGCCCTCGCGGCGTGCCGGCTCATGGACCGGGTAGCGTCCGCTCTTCTGGCGACCAGCTCCTGGGCGTCACCGGGCGCTGGCGCTAAGAACACCTCCCTGCCGGCGCACAGTGGGATTCCCGTGTGGCCTGGCACCGGCGGAGGGGACCCTTCTCCGTCGGTCCCTGGTCGCGCGCGGTGTCCCGGAACCCGCCTTGACCACCGCTCGGAGAGCCGGTCCGCGTCCTTGGCCGCCCGCAGGAGGTTTCTCCGGGAGGCAGTCCGACGGAACTCCGCCGGGCCCGCTTCAGCTGCCCCGGACCGTAGTGGCAGACCATCCCCGCAGCCGCTGGCATCCACCGCACCGCTAAGTCCCCGTACCCCGGCCACCAGCCCTGCTTCGGATACAGGAGCCATGCACCCCCCGCCGCTGTTTCCCTCCACCACCTTGATCATCGGTGACAGCATCATACGAGGTATTCGTTATTTTAATGCCATCACTCGCTCTTTCCCCGGTGCTACTGTTGCCGACATCACAGCAAAACTCCCCGGTCTTCTCCAATCACTTCCTGCCTCTATCCACCGTATCATTGTCCACGTTGGCACCAACGACTCGGCTCACCAACAGTCTGAACAGACAAAAAAAGACTTCAGGACACTTCTCGATAGCCTTCAGTGCAGCGGCAAAACTGTTTTTATAAGTGGCCCTCTTCCAACACTGACACGTAGCATCGATCGTTTTAGCCGCCTCCTCAGCCTAAACTCCTGGCTTCGAGCCCTCTGCAGCCCCCTCTCCACCCACTTCATAGACAATTTTAACCTGTTCTGGAACCGACCCCCATTCTTTTCTAATGACGGACTTCACCCAAACAAACTGGGCCATCAGACACTTGCCGCTAATATCCAACACCACATACACACCAACTGACTATAATTGTTTACATACTCCCTGTCATCCTCTCCCACTACCCCACCTGGAAACAGCGCCCCCCCAGAGGCCCCCCTCCGGAACCCTCGCCCTCACCACCCTCACCACCGGCTCCCCCAACAGGCCCCAACTGGTACTGCGCACCAACCCCATCGCCCCCACCACATCAAGCTCCCCCTCCTGGTCCAAACAGCTACTACACCCTTCAACCATAGACTCTCCTTGCAAACAATTGCAAACAATTAAAACAATTACAACTACTGGACCCTCCCGTTCAAATCCCATGCATCCAAAAAGAAGGACAAGAAATCTATCAAATCTCCGCTGCCTTCCCCCTGCCTCACTGCCCACCCCACAGCCCCCTCCCCTGAAGATGGCCCTTCAAAACACCCGCTCCCTCAATAACAAAGGACACATCCTAGCTGACTTCATAACAGACAATAACCTGGACTTCCTCTATCTAACTGAAACCTGGCACAACCATCTCGACCTCTTTCCACTCAACCAAGCCACCCCCCCCGGTTACTCCTACCTGCACCAACCCCGCCTCACTGGACGATGCGGAGGCGTCGCAGTTATTTATAAACAAACCCTCAAGACCACCCCCGCCCCCACCCTGTCCATCCACTCATTTGAAAATATCTCTGTCAAACTCCCCGGCCCCACCCCTCTGGTCATTGTTACTATCTACCGTCCCCCAAAGCCCCACCCATCATTCCTCTCTGATTTCTCTGAATTTGTCACCCACCTAAACACCATCTCATCCTCTGTCCTGCTGCTTGGAGACTTCAACTTTCACATTGACAACCCCACCTGCAAACAAGCATCTGACTTCCTGGATCTACTCGACACCCTCAATCTCACCCAGCATGTGCACTCCCCCACCCACTCCCATGGCCACACCCTCGACCTCGTCTGCTCCACCGGCATCTCCATCCACCATCTCTCCACCACCAACCTCTATATATATCTGATCACCTGGCTGTCACTTTCAACGTCGACCCCCCCCCCCCGCCTCACAGTGAAAAACGACAAATTAACTTCAGAAACCTCAAATCCATCTCACCACAGGACCTCTCCGCTTCCCTATCTGCCACCCTCACTGCATCCCCTCCCTCACCATCTGCTAAACTTCCTGACCTACTCAACTACTACAACAACACTCTATCCTCCTGCCTGGACCAGCTCGCACCTCTCAAAACAAAAACAGTTTCATTCAGACACTCTGCCCCCTGGTATACTTCAGAACTACACAAAATGAAATCCCATAAACGCCAACTGGAACGTCTACACCGCAAAACCGGCCTCACTGTCCATCTCCAAGCCTACACCGACCACCTCCACCTATACAGAACAGCCCTCAAATCCGCCCGCTCATCCTATTACTCCAACCTCATCAACTCCGGCTCCAGTAACCAAAAGGCTCTTTTCTCCACCGTCAAAAAACTGCTCCACCCCATAGACAGTACCTCCATCACCTTCACCCCGGAAAAATGCAACACATTCCTCTCCTCTTTTCAAACCAAAATCAACGCAATCTATAACTCCCTTCCCCCACCCTCCATTCCCTGCTCCTCCCCTCCTCCCCTCATCCCATCAGCACTCTCCTGCTTCTCACCTGTCTCCTCAACCGACGAGACTAATATCATCTGCTCCATGTCTTCATCCACCTGTATACTGGATCCCATCCCATCCTCCCTCATCAAGCACTGCCTCCCCGTCATCTCCCCCCTCATAACACAGATCATCAACTCCTCCCTCAACTCCGCCACTGTTCCCCCGTCACTCAAACTGGCTGCTGTCACCCCATCCTCAAAAAACCTGGACTCAACCCCGATGACATTAGTAACTTCCGGCCCATCTCCAACCTCCCTTTCCTGTCAAAAATCCTCGAACGTGTCATCGCATCACAAATCAAAACCCACCTCAACAATAACAACCTATATGAACAGTTCCAATCAGGATTCCGCACCCACCACAGCACCGAAACTGCCCTCATCAAAGTGACAAATGACCTCCTCATCTCTGCTGACTCTGGCCAACTCTCCATCCTCATCCTCCTCGACCTCTCCGCTGCTTTTGACACCATCGACCATGCCATCCTTCTGTCCCGCCTACACTCCCTTCTCAATATCACAGACACCGCTCTTAACTGGATCCACTCTTACCTCACAGACCGGAATCACTTCATCCATATTAACAACTGCTCCTCCACAACCGCCCCCGTGTCCCAAGGTGTCCCCCAGGGCTCGGTGCTTGGTCCCCTCCTCTTCATCATCTACCTCCTCCCTCTTGGCCACATCCTCCATCAACACAACCTCCACTTCCACTGCTATGCTGATGACATTCAATTATATATCTCTTCCAACTCCATCACCCCCCAGACCCAACGCTCCCTCTCACACTGCCTCTCTGACATCAAACACTGGATGGACAGCAATCTTCTTAAACTCAATTATGACAAAACAGATCTCATCATCATTGGCCCAAACTCCCTCACCTCCACAATCACAAACTTTCATCTCTCCATCGACAACTCCATCCTCTCCCCCTCCTCCCACTGTCGCAATCTTGGCATTCTCTTCGACAGCAACCTCTCCTTCACCCACCACATAAAGCAAATCACCAAAACAGCCTACTTCCACCTCAAAAACATTGCCCGCCTCCGCCCCTCCCTCTCCTACCCTGCAGCTGAAACCCTTATACATGCATTCATTTCATCTCGGCTAGATTACTGCAACAGTCTCTTTTATGGCACCACCTCCACTCTCCTCAATAAACTTCAGCTTATCCAGAACTCAGCTGCCCGCCTCCTCACCCACACACGCTCCCATCAACACATTACCCCCGTCCTCCAAAACCTTCACTGGCTCCCAATACCCCACCGCATTCAATACAAAATCCTCCTCCTCACCCACAAAGCACTCCACAACCTCGCCCCCCCCCCCCCCTATCTACAGGATCTTCTCCACCCCTATATCCCCTCCCGCACCCTCCGCTCCGCCAATGCCAACCTCCTCACAGTTCCCCTGACCAAGCACCGAACCTGGGGGGGGGAGGGCCTTCTCAGTCGCCGCCCCCACCCTCTGGAACTCACTCCCACTCGAACTCAGAAACTGCACTGACCTCACCAGATTCAAAAACCTTCTCAAAACCCACCTCTTCCGCACTGCCTTTCATCCTTCCTAGCCCCCCCCCATTGGATTTTACCTGATTCTACATGTTTTTATTGACATTGTCGTAAATTTTATTACTTATTGATGTGTGTTTTATTGTTATTTGATTTTACCTGATTCTACATGTTTTTATCATATTGCCGTAAATTTTATTACTTACTGATGTGTGTTTTTATTGCTTAACTCTGTACAGCGTCTTAGTGTTTTTGAAAAGCGCTTTACAAATAAAATGTATTATTATTATTATTATAATGCCACAATGCCATACGAGAGAATGTGGCTTCATGACATCATGTGTAATGTCAGACTACCACATTGCAAATTTTCTAGAATGTGACTTTGTGGCTTTGTGGCATTGTAACATAATTTGTCTTCCTGTTGAATTTAAAAATAAGATATAACACATGATGTCATAATGGCACATTCCAGAATTCAACCAGGTTGCATTCCTTGCAGAGAAACCATGTGACTTTGATTCAGAAGTAAACATGTAAACAATTCTAAACAAATATTAACATTTTGACATCTTGTGTGATTTTATAATGCCACAATGCCACAAGAGAGAATGTAGCTTTGTGACATCATGTGTAATGTCGGAATGCCACAATGCAAGTTTCCTAGATTGTGGCTTTGTGGCATTGTGACATAATGTGTCTTCCTGTTGAATGGCACATTCTAGAATGTAGCATTCTGACATCACATATTAGGTCATATTGCCACAATGCCATATGAGAGAATGTGGCTTAATGACATCATGTGTAATGTCAGAGTACCACATTGCAAGTTTCCTAGATTGTGGCTTTGTGGCATTGTGACATAATGTGTCTTCCTGTTGAATGTTAAAAAAAGATGTAACACATGATGTCATAATGGCACATTCCAGAATTCAACCAGGTTGCTGTCCTTGCAGAGAAACCATGTGACTTTGATTCAAGAGTAAACATGTAAACAAGTCTAAACAAATATTAACATTTTGACATCTTGTGTGATTTTATAATGCCACAATGCCACAAGAGAGAATGTGGCTTTGTGACATCATGTGTAATGTCGGAATGCCACAATGCAAAATGCTACGATGTGGAATTGTGGCATTCTGACATCATGTGTAATCCTAGAATGTGGAATTAAGACATCACACATGATGTCACAATGCCACATTCTAGAATTCCAAAGGGTTGCTGTTTTAGCAGAGGAACCATGTGACTATGATTCAAATATCAACAATTCTAGAAAAAGTTTTAAAATTATGACATCACACGAAGTCACAATAGCACAATGGCACATTCTAGAATGTAGCATTCTGACATCACATATTAGGTCATACTGCCACAATGCCATGTGAGAAAATGTGACTTTATGACATCATGTGTAATGTCAGAGTACCACATTGCAAGTTTCCTAGAATGTAGCTTTGTGGCATTGTGACATAGTATGTCTTTCTTTTGAATGTAAAAATAAGATATAACACATGATGTCATAATGGCACATTCCAGAATTCAACCAGGTTGCTGTCCTTGCAGAGAAACATGTGACTTTGATTCAAAAGTAAACATGTAAACAATTCTAAACAAATATTCACATTTTGACATCTTGTGTGATTTTGTAATGCCAATATGCCACAAGAATGAATGTGGCTTTGTGACATGATGTGGAATGTTGGAATGCCACAATGCAAAATTCTATGATGTGGCATTGTGGCATTCTTACGTCATGTGTAATCCTAGAATGTGGAATTAGGACATTGCACATGATGTATCAATGCCACATTGTAGAATGCCAATGGGTTGCTTTTTTAGCAGAGGAACCATGTGACTGATTCAAATATAAACAATTCTAGAAAAAGTTTTAAAATTATGACATCACACAAAGTCACTATAGCGCAATGGCACATTCTAGAATGTAGCATTCTGACATCACATAATCGGTCATATTGCCACAATGCCATATAAGAGAATGTGGCTTTATGACATCATGTGTAATGTCAGAGTACCACATTGCAAGTTTCCTAGAATATTGGCTTTGTGGCATTGTGACATAATGTGTCTTCCTGGTGAATGTAAAAATAAGATAAAACACATGATGTCATAATGGCACATTCCAGAATTCATCCAGGTTGCTGTCCTTGCAGAGAAGCCATGTGACTTTGATTCAAAAGTAAACATGTAAACAATTCTAAACAAATATTCACATTTTGACATCTTGTGTGATTTTGTAATGGCACAATGCCACAAGAGAGAATGTGGCTTTGTGACATGATGTGGAATGTCGGAATGCCACAATGCAAAATTCTACGATGTGGCATTGTGGCATTCTGACATCATGTGTAATCCTAGAATGTGAAATTAGGACATTGCACATGATGTATCAATGCCACATTTTAGAATTCCCACGGGTTGCTGTTTTAGAAGAGAAACCATGTGACTGATTCAAATATATACAATTCTAGAAAAAGTTTTAAAATTCTGACATCACACAAAGTCACAATAGCGCAATGGCACATTCTAGAATGTAGCATTCTGACATCACATATGAGGTCATATTGCCACAATGCCATATGAGAGAATGTGGCTTTATGACATCATGTGTAATGTCAGAGTACCACATTGCAAGTTTCCTAGAATGTGGCTTTGTGGCATTGTGACATCATGGGCTCTATTTTGGTGCTTCGCCGGAGATCTGCCGCAAGCGTAGCGTCAATCAGATCCGCCGCGCTGACAAGGCGTTCCCAAGCACATTTTGGTATTTTGTTGGGCCGCGCAGCCCGGCGTAAGTAACCCCCCTCCCTAACTCAGCTCCTCCCAGCAGCATACGTCGTGGGGGGAAGGAGAGTGGGTGTGAAGTGGGTTTAACACAGCCGAGTCCAATTTGCGCCAATCAAATAACCGCCTCTCCTCGCCTTTAAATCCGCCGTCGGCGAGGCGCATTGGCATTTTCGTGCAGCAGACTCACAGATGGCCGAGATGGAAACGAGTGCGAGACAGCCGAACTTCTCTCAGGAGGAAACTGATGCTCTGGTCCGGGAGGTCCAGTCTCGCAGTGGCCGGATATACGGTCACGCGAACAGACCTCCACGGGTCGATGATGCAAAAGCAGCCTGGGAAGAGGTAAGTGCTGCTGTCAATCAAGTTTGCCCGGACGTGCTGAGAACCGCTGCGCAATGCAAAAAGCGGTTCAATGATGTTAGACGACGGGCTAAACTTAAATTATCCCAACACCGTCGCCAGACTGCAACGACCGGAGGCGGCCCCTCAACGAGTGTGGTGCTGAGCCCTGCGGAGGACGTGGCGTCCTCCACACTCCCCAAAATTAGTATCGAGGGGTTTGGTGTCTCTGAGGTTGGACTCACGGGTAAGACAAACATTCTTTTCCACAAATAAAGACACTAACATGTATATTTAACCACGTGTTACTAAGGTGTGTTGTGTGCACAGGTGATCTGAAAAAATGCCATGCGTAATGGGATTGAAATCGGAACCACCTGTGCGTAAAGACGGATCAAACAAAGCCTGATTGTATTTTCTCCCCCTTTCCGCTAATGTTTGCATCTGAAATGAACTTTGCTCACACAATTTCTAACTTCTTTATTCTAAATGAAAGTATTAACATTTTTAAAAAAAGAAGTTCTGTGATTTACTAAAATAAAATTTCTGGTCAGCCTCGGCAGAACTGCCGCTGTCGCGGCAGCAGCACACCACAAGGGAGGAGGAGGAGGAGGAGGAGGAGGAGGAAGAACAACAGCAGCAGCAGGTGGTCGGGGGGGAGGAGAAGGAGGGAGAGGACGAAGACGACCGCGAGGAGGAGGACCAGGGGGAGCCGGAGCCGGTGCCGGAGACGCGGGAGGGGGCAGGACGTGGAGACGAGCCGGCAACACGGGGTCGGAGACGAAACCGCGTTCAGCGGGAGGACCAGCCCTTCCTGGACACCCAGCGGGCTGGTTTTCTGATGTTGGAGAGGGAGCTGGGGTCGATGGGGACGCGGCTTGGGTCGCTGGAGGCCCAGGTGAAGGCTCTCCAGGAGGTCCTCCAGGCCAGCCTGCTCCCCTTAGCCGCTGGCGTTGCGACACTGCAGCGGCTGGTCCAGGTAGCCGAAAGGCTGCTGCCACCAGCAGAATCATCCACCCCCGCCTGTCCCAGGTGGCCGCTGAGGCCGCGCACAAGAGGGGGCGGCCCCCTGGGTTGACTGACCGACTGCAGCGTCCAGACCCAAGAGGAGGAGGAGGAGGAGGAGGAGGAAGAAGAAGAAGAAGAAGAAGGGGGTTGGGAGGGGAGAAACACAATAAAAACACTTGTTAATGCAATCATGTTTGACTATTTATTGGATGTTTTAATGTGGATAATTACAAAAAGTGTATAAATGAATGAAAGCAAATACTCACACTTAAGGGCAGAGCTGTGCTGCGAGGCGGTCCCTCCTCACCTGCGCGCTCTGCTGCTCTCCCTGCTGACATGGCACATGCAATTCGGCCTCTCTCTGTCTAAAGTCCAGTAATGTGTCCTCGGCGAGGTCGTAGTGGCATCCATGGCGTATAGCTATGTTGTGTAAAACACAGCATGCCACAAAGAATGCACCGACACTCTGCGGGCTGTATGTTAATGAACCACCTGACCGGTCCAGACATCTGAAACGCATTTTGAGGATTCCAAAAGTAAGTTCAATGACTGACCTAGCACTGCTGAAGACACTGTTAAAAATACGTTGCTGTCTTGTTGAAGGTGTAATGTATGGCGTCATCAACCACGTTTTCAGTGGATAGCCGTTATCACCTAGCAGCCACCCATCCAGAGGGGTGTCCCCCTGAAAGACTGTAGGGATGATAGAATTCGCCAGGATGAATGAATCATGTGCAGACCCGGGGTAATTAGCGTACACGTTTGTCACCAGGCAATTTGAGTCACAAATCACCTGGATATTAATGGAGTGGACTCCCTTACGATTCACATAAATGAGGGCTTGGGTCTCTGGTGCGCGCAACTGCACATGTGTGCAGTCAATTGCTCCAAGGACCCCAGGGAATCCATATTTCAACAAGAACCCTCGCTTCGTTTCCAGCTGGCTTGCAGGTGATGATGGGAAAATGATGTGCTCATTTGCGTGTCGGACTAGACTGGTGGACACTGCATGTATGGCCAAACTGACAGCGGCCTGACTTATCCCTACCACCGAAGCCACGGTATGCTGGAAAGACCCGGTGGCGAAGAAAGTCAGAGCCGCTGTCACCCTCACAGCAACTGGGAGAGCGCATGGGCCACCGGGGTCCGCATCTGAGGCCACAATCCGTGTGATCGCGTGGACCACCTCACGAGGCAGGTGTAATTTGGTCCTGTGTCAAGGAAAATAGTAGATTGTTAAAAGGCAGTTGTATTGAACACGGTGTTGGAGGCGTTATCCATGTGGCCCACCTGCATTCCTGCTCTGTTAAGGTTAAATATGATGCCCTGTGATGAATCACCCTCTCTCTGTAATTTCTCCTCCTCCTCCTCCACCTCCTTGCAATTATGTACTCCATCTTTGTAGATAATGTTAAGCATGGAAATTATTAAATTTGTAGCTGTGAGATCACATGCTGCATGTAAATCTTGAGAACAACGGTCATAACTTACTTTGCTTCAGTGTGCGTTGATTCTTTTCTCAGTGTTCTGAGATGACATGCCAAATATATACTCTCTCTGTGATGACAAAGCTGTTTGTGGTTGGTAGAGAGACGTGAAGTAGTTAGTTTGCATCAGAGTTTCAGCTGTGTTAGTCGGTCAGGTGGAGTGGCAATTAGGCGTGCCAAACGCGCTCCTATAGATATACATCAAAATGTACTGTAGATCTAAATGTATGTGCTGCATATATTTAAATCCCATATGACAAAGATGAGTTGTGCGCACAGATCACACCATAAATTCCAAAAATGGCATTAAAATTGGAACCATCTGTGCGTAAATGACGCATCGCGCTCCGTGGCCTGGCTCTTTCTTTCATAGATGTTGGCATATAAAATAAATTTGGCTCACAAAACTGAATATTATAATATCCGTATGTCGGCTTAAAGTAGATCACGCATCTGAGCACTGAAACAAATCATCTGTTCAGTCGCAGCAGCAGCAAGACGGACAGAGGACACGGAGACGTGTCCAGGTCGAGCTGCGCGAGAAATAAGAGGAAGAGGAAGAAAGAAAAGGAGGGAGACGAATTACATATCTTGTTAACTTCATCATGTGTGTTTATTTACTAGATATTTAATTTAATTTGATGCGGTTTCAGCTGTGTTGATTCGGTCAGGTTGTGTGTCCAAACGCGTGCCAAACGCGCTCATCAGATCAGATATAGATCAGAATATATCTATATAGATCTAAATATATGTGCTGACTCAGATTAATAGTTGATGATGATTACTTATTGCACTGAAATGTGCCTGACACTGTGGAAACCTGCCGGTGAGGCATCAGTGACGTAGGTCGATACGCCGCCGGTCTACCAAAATACTACAAGACCAGCTGCGTTCCGCCTTGCGCTGAAAGCTGACCAGGTTTGAATCGGCGAGCTTTCAGCGCACTTTACACGCCGTTGGCGAGCACGAAAATGTCACTGCGCCAGCTGATTCTGTCAACACCTCCCCCTGCCACACCACCACGCCCAGCTTGGTGGATCTCGGCTCGCCTCCGTGCGGCTCATGCCACGAAAATACCAAATTGGCCTTACGCTGGGCTCCGCCAGATGAAAATACAACTGCACGGGGCTCGCCGCCCTCCGCCGCCTCACCGGCGCGAACGAAAATAGAGCCCAATGTGTCTTCCTGTTGAATGTAAAAAAAAGATAAAACACATGATGTCATAATGGCACATTCCAGAATTCAACCAGGTTGCTGTCCTTGCAGAGAAACCATGTGACTTTGATTCAAAAGTAAACATGTAAACAATTCTAAACAAATATTAACATTTTGACATCCTGTGTGATTTTGTAATGCAACAGTGCCACAAGAGAGAATGTGGCTTTGTGACATCATGTGTAATGTCGGAATGCCACAATGCAAAATTCTACGATGTGGCATTGTGGCATTCTGACATCATGTGTAATCCTAGAATGTGGAATTAAGACATCACACATGATGTCATCAATGCCACATTGTAGAATGCCAATGGGTTGCTGTTTTAGCAGAGGAACCATGTGACTATGATTCAAATATAAACAATTCTAGAAAAAGTTTTAAAATTATGACATCACACAAAGTCACAATAGCCCAATGGCACATTCTAGAATGTAGCATTCTGACATCACATATTAGGTCATATTGCCACAATGCCATATGAGAGAATGTGGCTTTATGACATCATGTGTAATGTCAGAGTACCACATTGCAAGTTTCCTAGAATGTGGCTTTGTGGCATTGTGACATAGTATGTCTTCCTGTTGAATGTAAAAATAAGATAAAACACATGATGTCATAATGGCACATTCCAGAATTCAACCAGGTTGCTGTCCTTGCAGAGAAACCATGTGACTTTGATTCAAAAGTAAACATGTAAACAATTCTAAACAAATATTCACATTTTGACATCTTGTGTGATTTTGTAATGCCAATATGCCACAAGAGAGAATGTGGCTTTGTGACATCATGTGTAATGTCGGAATGCCACAATGCAAAATTCTACGATGTGGCATTGTGGCATTCTGACATCATGTGTAATCCTAGAATGTGGAATTAGGACATTGCACATGATGTATCAATGCCACATTGTAGAATGCCAATGGGTTGCTTTTTTAGCAGAGGAACCATGTGACTGATTCAAATATAAACAATTCTAGAAAAAGTTTTAAAATTATGACATCACACAAAGTCACTATAGCGCAATGGCACATTCTAGAATGTAGCATTCTGACATCACATATTAGGTCATATTGCCACAATGCCATATGAGAGAATGTGGCTTTATGACATCATGTGTAATGTCAGAGTACCACATTGCAAGTTTCCTAGAATGTTGCTTTGTGGCATTGTGACATAATGTGTCTTCCTGTTGAATGTAAAAATAAGATATAACACATGATGTCATAATGGCACATTCCAGAATTCAACCAGGTTGCTGTCCTTGCAGAGAAACCATGTGACTTTGATTCAAAAGTAAACATGTAAACAATTCTAAACAAATATTCACATTTTGACATCTTGTGTGATTTTGTAATGCCACAATGCCACAAGAGAGAATGTGGCTTTGTGACATCATGTGTAATGTCGGAATGCCACAATGCAAAATTCTACGATGTGGTATTGTGGCATTCTGACATCATGTGTAATCCTAGAATGTGGAATTAAGACATCGCACATGATGTCACAATGCCACATTGTAGAATTCCCACGGGTTGCTGTTTTAGCAGAGGTACCATGTGACTATGATTCAAATATAAACAATTCTAGAAAAAGTTTTAAAATTATGACATCACACAAAGTCACAATAGCCCAATGGCACATTCTAGAATGTAGCATTCTGACATCACATATTAGGTCATATTGCCACAATGCCATATGAGAGAATGTGGCTTTATGACATCATGTGTAATGTCAGAGTACCACATTGCAAGTTTCCTAGAATGTGGCTTTGTGGCATTGTGACATAGTATGTCTTCCTGTTGAATGTAAAAATAAGATAAAACACATGATGTTATAATGGCACATTCCAGAATTCAACCAGGTTGCTGTCCTTGCAGAGAAACCATGTGACTTTGATTCAAAAGTAAACATGTAAACAATTCTAAACAAATATTAACATTTTGACATCTTGTGTGATTTTGTAATGCCACAATGCCACAAGAGAGAATGTGGCTTTGTGACATGATGTGGAATGTCGGAATGCCACAATGCAAAATTCTACGATGTGGCATTGTGGCATTCTGACATCATGTGTAATCCTAGAATGTGGAATTAAGACATCGCACATGATGTCACAATGCCACATTGTAGAATGCCAATGGGTTGCTGTTTTAGCAGAGGAACCATGTGACTGATTCAAATATAAACAATTCTAGAAAAAGTTTTAAAATTATGACATCACACAAAGTCACAATAGCCCAATGGCACATTCTAGAATGTAGCATTCTGACATCACATATGAGGTCATATTGCCACAATGCCATATGAGAGAATGTGGCTTTATGACATCATGTGTAATGTCAGAGTACCACATTGCAAGTTTCCTAGAATGTGGCTTTGTGGCATTGTGACATAGTATGTCTTCCTGTTGAATGTAAAAATAAGATAAAACACATGATGTTATAATGGCACATTCCAGAATTCAACCAGGTTGCTGTCCTTGCAGAGAAACCATGTGACTTTGATTCGAAAGTAAACATGTAAACAATTCTAAACAAATATTAACATTTTGACATCTTGTGTGATTTTGTAATGCCAATATGCCACAAGAGAGAATGTGGCTTTGTGACATGATGTGGAATGTTGGAATGCCACAATGCAAAATTCTATGATGTGGCATTGTGGCATTCTGACATCATGTGTAATCCTAGAATGTGGAATTAGGACATTGCACATGATGTATCAATGCCACATTGTAGAATGCCAATGGGTTGCTTTTTTAGCAGAGGAACCATGTGACTAATTCAAATATAAACAATTCTAGAAAAAGTTTGAAAATTATGACATCACACAAAGTCACAATAGCCCAATGGCACATTCTAGAATGTAGCATTCTGACATCACATATGAGGTCATATTGCCACAATGCCATATGAGAGAATGTGGCTTTATGACATCATGTGTAATGTCAGAGTACCACATTGCAAGTATCCTAGAGTATTGGCTTTGTGGCATTGTGACATAATGTGTCTTCCTGTTGAATGTAAAAATAAGATATAACACATGATGTCATAATGGCACATTCCAGAATTCAACCAGGTTGCTGTCCTTGCAGAGAAACCACGTGACTTTGATTCAAAAGTAAACATGTAAACAATTCTAAACAAATATTAACATTTTGACATCTTGTGTGATTTTGTAATGCCACAATGCCACAAGAGAGAATGTGGCTTTGTGACATGATGTGGAATGTCGGAATGCCACAATGCAAAATTCTACGATGTGGCATTGTGGCATTCTGACATCATGTGTAATCCTAGAATGTGGAATTAGGACATTGCACATGATGTATCAATGCCACATTGTAGAATACCAATGGGTTGCTTTTTAAGCAGAGAAACCATGTGACTGATTCAAATATAAACAATTCTAGAAAAAGTTTTAAAATTATGACATCACACAAAGTCACAATAGCACAATGGCACATTCTAGAATGTAGCATTCTGACATCACATATTAGGTCATATTGCCACAATGCCATATGAGAGAATGTGGCTTTATGACATCATGTGTAATGTCAGAGTACCACATTGCAAGTTTCCTAGAATGTTGCTTTGTGGCATTGTGACATAATGTGTCTTCCTGTTGAATGTAAAAATAAGATATAACACATGATGTCATAATGGCACATTCCAGAATTCAACCAGGTTGCTGTCCTTGCAGAGAAACCATGTGACTTTGATTCAAAAGTAAACATGTAAACAATTCTAAACAAATATTAACATTTTGACATCTTGTGTGATTTTGCAATGCGACAGTGCCACAAGAGAGAATGTGGCTTTGTGACATGATGTGGAATGTCGGA